ATCATGTTAGAAACTAATTAACATCACAGTGTGCATGAGAACATGTGTGTGCTGAAAGGGTTAAATTCTGAAAAAATACCAGAGATGGTATCAAAGGACTGAAATCAGAACTCACTACTGCTCCTTCAGCTTCTCATACTGCTCCAGGTCAGGTTTGATCTGCCGTGTCAACCTCTGGTACTGGCGCAGCTGTGCTGCTGCATAGTCTGGGAACAAAGTGAACTGGGGTTAAGGGTTTTATCTCCTGGTCCAGTTTGCAGCTGAAATATCAACACAACTGTGTGGTTAAACCGTTACCTGAAAATCCCAGATCAGGATTTTTCCTCTTCTTTTTCCTTTCCCATCTCTCAGCATCCTCAGCGCTGATCTCCAGCAGTTTGACTCGCTCGTAGTCCTCTCCTCTCTCTGCACATTCCTGACACAGCACAAGGAATATTTTGGTGTTAACAGTAAGACAGTGGCCAAGCATCAAATGTAGTTACAACTCCCCAGACCAGCCCAGTCAACCTCTGGAGCAGGACAGTAATTTAGATAATCAGGGGCCTAATTAGGACATGGATTTTGGGGGGAAACATCTCCCAAGACTCTGCAGCCTCTATGAAGTGTCACTTGTTGCAGCTCCCTGGGGTCATGGGAAGCAGGAGGTGTGTTTATTCTTTTCCTGCACCTTCAACTCCCACTCCAGCCGAGCTTTTTTAGCTTCCCAGTTTGGTGGCAATTTCAGTCTCTTGTCTTCCTCCACCACTTCTTGGCTGTTCAGCTTGCAAGCCTCATACTGGGAACAGAACACAGAGACACTTGAGCAAAGAAACAACAAAACCAGAGCTCCTGAGGGGCATGGGAGTCCCCCCAGGATGGGCCCTGCACCTTCAACTCCCACTCCAGCCGAGCTTTTTTAGCTTCCCAGTTTGGTGGCAATTTCAGTCTCTTGTCTTCCTCCACCACTTCTTGGCTGTTCAGCTTGCAAGCCTCATACTGGGAACAGAACACAGAGACACTTGAGCAAAGAAACAACAAAACCAGAGCTCCTGAGGGGCATGGGAGTCCCCCCAGGATGGGCCCTGGGCACTGCTTCCCAATGGAAAACAGAATCACAGAACAGTTGGTGTTGGAAGTGACCTCTAGAGATCATCCAGGCCAACCTCCCTGCCCAGGCAGGGTCACTGAGAGCAGGTGACACAGAAACATGTCCAGGTGGGTTTGGAGTGTCTCCAGAGAAGGAGACTTCATGCCCTCCCTGGGCAGCTGTTCAGTGCTATGCCACCCTCCAAGGACAGAAACTCTTCCTCATACTGAAGTGGAACTTGTGTTTTAGTTTACTGCCACTGCTCCCTGTTCTGTCGTTGGGCACCACTAAACAGATTCTGGCACCATCCTGACACCTCTCTGAGATGTTTACGTGGAATGATAAGATTCCCCTCTCAGTCTTCCCTTCTTCACACTAACCAGGCCCAGCCTCTCCTCATCAGAGAGATGCTCCAGACCTTTGCTGGACCTTCTCCAGCAGCTCCTTGTCTTTCCTGACCTACGGAGACCAGATCTGAACACAAAAACCCACTGCCTTTTTAACCACCACCCTCTGTGGGTACCAGACAGGGCAGGGACAGGGAAACCTCTCCTGCTGTGTGCTGGACAGGGCAAGGACAGGGAAACCAATCCCGGTGTGTGCCAGATGGAGCAGGGACAGGGTAGCGTTTCCCAGTTTGTGCTGGACAGGGCAGGGACAGGTTATGTGTGCTGGGCAAGGACAGGGAAACCAATCCCGGTGTGTGCCAGATGGAGCAGGGACAGGGTAGCGTTTCCCAGTTTGTGCTGGACAGGGCAGGGACAGGTTAAACCACCTCCGTGTGTACCGGCCGGAGCTTCGCCCGGGCGGGGAATCAATCCTGCCGCCCTCCCCGCCCTGCTCTGCTGCTTCGCTGGCAGGAACGTGCCTCACACCACCGCGGCCTCCCCCTCGTACCCTCTTCATGTGCAGC